TTTTTAACTTTATTTATTAATTTTTTCCCTCCAAAGCCCCAGTAGATAGTTGTATGTCATAGCTGCACATCCTTCTAGTTGCTGTATGTGGGACGTGGCCTCAGCATGGCCGGAGAAGCAGTGCATCGAGACGCGCCTGGGATCCGAACCCGGGCTGCCAGCAGTGGAGTGCGAGCACTTAACCGCTAAGCCACGGAGGCGGCCCCTTGATGCCCATTTTTAAAAAATCTAGCATATGCCTTTTCCTCTAACATTTCATGACTACCTAAACTGCTTTGCTGAAAACATCGAAATAACCTGTCATTGTAAAGACATGAGATAAGAAAAAATATATTCTTAAAATGTAATACATTTAATAAGGAGCAGCTTCTAGTTTTCAAAAATATAAGCCATGAGGTGCGTAAAATGTGAGACATGCCATAACGAAAAAATAAAAATGGATTTTATCTTGCTATCATTAGGGTAGACTGGTTATTCAGCTGGGATTTTTTTTCAAACACGCAACTTGAAAGACAAATCCAAATGGAATTTCCATGTTGAAATGATCTTCAAGCAAATATACACCCTTGCTGGACCCTTGATTTATTTTGCCTTTAGCTACTATATTAAAATACAGTTCACAATTGATAAAATATGTACTTGACTAACTGTATAATCAAGATAAACGTTAAGGGAAAATACTGGGGAAGAAACTTCAAAGCACCCTGATTTTTAAATTAGTTTTTACTCATCAAATTGATGTTTAATTCTATGAGTGTTTCTTCAATATGAGTAGGCAAGTGAATATTTTTCTTCAGATGTTACAAACATGTCATTTAAAACACTCTTTTTTTGATTTTGTTTTCTTTAGCAAATTTTTTTTAGCAAACACATACACACATATTTGGATTTTGGAAATTATGAATTGACTGGAACATGAAATTTCAAACACCCACGAACATATATGTACATATATATAAAGTTGTCAAACACGTTATTCAATTTCTCCATAATCAAATTTTTTATGTACTTTTTTTTTTTGGTGAGGAAGATTAGCCCTGAGCTAACATCTGTTGCCAATCTGCCTCTTTTTGCTGAGGAAGATTGGCCCTTGGCTATCATCCATGCCCATCTTCCTCTATTTTATATGTAGGACACCTATCACAGCATGGCTTGATAAGCGGTACGTAGGTCCATGCCCAGGATCCAAACCCACAAACCCCGGGCCACTGAAGTGGAGTGCTTGAACTTAACCACTACGCCACTGGGCCAGCCCCTATGTACTTATTTTTAAAATATTTTTTTATGTACTCTGAGAGGCATGTTCAAGTTTCTCAATATGATTGTAGTATCTCATTATAATATGATACCATTTCTTTTTATTTCAAATAGGTTTGCTTTATATTTTTCAATGATGGCTAGATGGATAAAAGTTGTTAGATGGATAAAAGTTTATGACAAGGGTATGTTTTGGGGGGTCTTTTATCAATATGAAATCTCTCTGGGCCAATGACTTTAAAAGGCACCTCACCAGAAAAGATATACAGATGGCAAATAAGTATATGAGAAGATGCTCCACATCATATGTCATCAGGGAAATGCAAATTAAAACAACATACCACTACACACCTATTTAGAATGGCCAAAATCCAGAACACTGACAAAAACCAAAGGCTAGTGAGAACATGAAGCAAAAGGAACTCTCATTCATTGCTGGTGGGGATACAAAATGCTACAACTTTGGTTGGTTCTCTTGAGTGGAATTGCTAGGTCACAGGTTTAACTTTCTGAGTTACTCCCAAATTGTTTCCAAAACACCCACACCATTTTACAATCCTAGCAACGTAGGAAGGTTCCGGTTTCTCCACATCCTCCCACAACTTGTTATTATCTTTCTGATTAGTCATCTCAGTGCGTGTGAAGTGGTATCTCCTTGTGGTTTTGATTTACATTTCCCATGGGCAGGCCCGGTGGCTTAACAGTTAAGTTCGAGAGCTCCGCTGCTGGCGGCCCGAGTTCGGATCCCGGCCGAGTTCGGATCCCGGGCGCATCCCGGGCACGCACCGACGCACCACTTCTCTGGCCATGCTGAGGCCACGTCCCACATACAGCAACTACAGGGATGTGCAACTACATTTCCCTAATGGCTAATGATGTCAAGCATCTTTCATGTGCAGTAAGGCCATTTGTATATCTTCTTTGGAAAAATGTCTGTTCAAATCCTTTGCCCATTTTTAATTGGGTTATTTATCTTTTTCAGTATGGAGTTATAAGAGTTCTTTATATAGTTTAGATACCAGTCTCTTATCAGATACATGACTTGCAAATATTTTCTCCCAGCATGTGGGCTGTCTTTTCACTTTCTTGATAGTATCATTTGAGGCACAAAAGTTTTAAATTTCAATGTAGGCCAATTTACCTATTTTTTCTTTTTATTTTTGTGCTGTTGGTATGGTATCTGACAAGGCCTTGCCTAACCCAAGGTCATGAAGATTTACTCCTATTTTTTCTTTTAAGAGTTTTAATAGTTTTACCTCTTCAATTTAGGTCTCTGATCCATTCAGAGTAAATTTTTGTGTATGATATAAAGACGTGGTCCAGCTTCATTCATGTGGATAGCTAATAGTTCCAGCACCATTTGTGGAAGAGGCTATTCTTCTCCCCATTGAATTGTCTTGGCACCATTGTCAAAAATCAATGAACCATAAATGTTAGGGTTTATTTCTGGACTCTCAATTCTATTCTATTCCAATAGTTTTTTTTTTTTTTTGTGAGGAAGATCAGCCCTGAGCTAACATCCAC